TTGTGGGTTTCTGTGAGCTCATTTATGCGGAAGAGGGTAGATAGTGCTTTCCTCTGAGTACTCAGCTGTCCTGTTACACAGCATGAGCTGCAGTTTGAAAAGATGCAGTTGGTGGTTGGATTAATGTGTCACAGATGAAGCAAGTGCTAGCTTTCACTCTCCCCGTGCTAGCTAGCAGGTGCCAATTAACAAAGGACCAAAAAAAAAAAAAAGGACTTTGCCAGTTTGGTTTTTGAGATGTTCTTCACAGTGATGAGAGTGACTTCACAGTGAATTGAACATATAATGTCTCAAAAAAAATCAGACTCAAACTATTTTTCTACAGCATTTTTATGATTTGGTTTTGAGCTGAATGGGGTTTAATGCACAGTGATGTCATTCTCAGCCATAGACTCAGTTATAATATCTCAAAAACCAAGCCAGCACTAACAACACCACAAATCGAAATAACAAATTTTATTCACTTTCTTTTTAGATTGGGCTGCAACTTTTCAGGTCTCAATATGAAGGGGATGATATTGGATTATTGTTGGTATGTGACATCAGTTTTAATTCTGACACAGTTTGAGATTTAAAGGCATAATCTGCAAATTTGTCATCAGCAAAGTTAGAACACTTGGATGCTAGTGTGTGAGACAGCTTTTTTTCCCTCCCATTTAGAGTCTGGAGCAACACAGATATTAGAGACTTGTTGAAGCAGTAGGATATGAGAACTTCAAATATTAGTGTCAGGGCACACATGTACCTACTGTGGAGGTGGTTATGCAGAAATGACCTTACCTAATTTAAATAAATAGTTTTCATAATGTTGCTCTGTGGCTCATTTGGCACTGTTAGGAAAGCCTCAGCAAAGTTAAACAATATGATATATATTGTACATATTGTGAGAGAATATCTCGTTCTGTTTCCCGCATGGGAGAATGTGCGTGTGTGTGCATGCGTGCATGTGTGAGGCAACCGATACTCTTGTCATGTGAGAAATGTCAATCAGTTGTCAGTGATCAAGTGATCAATAAGGGCAGCAGAACAACAGGTGGATCAATACTCTCATTTTAACACACAGTGGAATGTGCTTCCATACACGGTACTGGGAAATTCAATACAAATATTACGACAGAAGTTGTTAGTACAGGAAAAATCACTTTTTGGCCGCTTATGTTTATATTCATTCTTAGTTTATTCCTAATTCCTATTTCAGTTGTTTTATACATCATTTAACCACTTAACTGTGTAATTTTTACAGGCTGTGAAGGATTGTTTGATATGTCACATGTATAATGTTTATGTTTTTGAAAGTGACATTGCCACATCTATATTTACCTAACTGATACATTGCTAAATCTGTAATAATGCACTTAATTTCAGCCTGTGGTCTCCTTGAAAGGTCACCTGATGCAGAACACTACTTGATGATTGTGCAGTTAACTGATACACGCCACAACAATTCAAACAAGTTTGAACATGGCATCCATAAAGCTAGATTGTAAAATGAACTGTAAACTAAACTATAATAAAAATCTTTATCTCCCAGTTGTCTCTCCTAGGTGATGTTGCTTGGCTCCTGATAAGCAGTCTTGTTGAATTGGTTTGGTTTCTTTGGTGACACTCAACACCCAGGGCTCATGAATTAGTCATACCTGTTTACCACACAGTCTCAGGATCAATACAGTCAATACCACATAAAGGATGGGCTGAGACTTTAACTATACAACTGCTCCTATTACTCAGCACTCAGTATCACATTATGTTTGGCGTATGTAAGGTTTGTCAGTGTGGTGGGGGAGGGGGTGGCTGTAGGTTTACAGGAGTGATGATTCTTGTCATTTGTTGTGACCATTGGAACAGCATCATCAGCCAATCTCATCCTCTAATAACAAAGAACATTTAACATGACAGTAAGACATTGATCAGAAGGTCGGGGGTTCAATTTTAATCAGGATATTTACATTTTCTGAGGTTATGCTAACAAAATAGCGAAGTCACTTTGAAAAAAAAAAAAAAAGAAACTATGAACAATTTTTTTATGTTTTCAAAAAAGTTGGTCTGTGTTGTAACTGATATACTTTATCATAACACTGACATCTTCTTGTCATATCTTACACACTAAATATAGTAAAGAATAGAGACATAAAAGATGTACAAACTGAACTAAATGAAGACTTGATTCCAAGACTCTTTTCAAACTAAGGGTGGAACAGAGGAAGCGAAGGACAGAGGTATGAGAACAAGGGAGTATTTGGCTTTGATTGAGGTCACACCCAGCCTGAGTGTGCTGTACATTCATAGCCTGAAGCCTACGATTTCAACACTATGATGGAGCAGCTCAGTACACCTGAAGTGTAGATGGATGACGAGTGTGCTGTAAAGCGGGCGTGCACATGAGGGCAAATCAAATATTAAATCAAGAATTACTGCATGTGTATGTTTACATTTCGTGTATTATCCTTTCTGAAGAAAGACTAAGACATTAATCTATGACAATTTTAATAAATGAGCCACTTTTTCTTAAACGTTCATCATATCTTTACATGTCTTGCCTAATTTCAATTTACACTTAAGTATAAATAGTGTAAACAGCACACATATTATGTAATATGTAAATATATTATGTATGCATTTTAAACTACTGTATACACACACAGCCACTTTAATAGGAACACACCTGGTTATTCATACAATTATCCAGTCACCCAATCGTGTGGCAGCAGCGCAATTCTTAAAGTAATGCAGGTCAAAAGCTTTTTGTTCACATCAAACATTAGGAAAAAAAATGTGATCGCAGTGGCTGGTGTCAGACAGTTTGTTTGAGTATTTCAGAAACTGCTGATCTCCTGCAATTTTCGTGCACCACAGTCTGTACAGTTTACACAGAATGGTGCGTAGAAAAAAAAACAACAACCAGTGAGCGGAGGAAACACCTTGTTGATGAGAGAGGTCAGAGGAGAATGGCCAGACTAGTTCGAGCTAACAGGAAGGCTATGGAACTATCCACTATTTACAACCCTGGTGAGCAGAAAAGCATGCCAGAACATGTCAAAACTTCAAGTGGACTGGCTAAAACAGCAGAAGACCATTTTAGGTTCCACTTCTGTCAGCCAAGAACAGGAATCTGAGGCTACAGTGGACACAGACTCAACAAAACTGGACAGTTGACATTTTTCTTCAATTGTCCAGTTTTGGTAAACCTGTGCTCACTATAGCCTCAGATTCCTGTTTTTGGCTGACAGGGGTGGAACCAGATGTGGGCTTCTGCTGTTGTAGCTCATCTGCCTCAAGGTTATTGTTGTGTGTGTTCTGAGATGCATTTCTGCTCAGCAGGGTTGTACAAATGTTACACACTGCTAGTTAAAGGATTCTGAATGTGCTCCGTTAACATTATGTTAGAAAAAAAAATAGAACATTGTAAGAGTGTTAGAGGTATAAGTGAATTAAGAAGTTTGTGGCTTTTTTTTTTTTTTTTGGAAAAGAATCCACATCAGATGGAAAATGCCTAGATCTTGACCACAATAATCAGCCACTTGTAGCCATACTGTATATTTTCCAACTATTATTATTATTATTATTTATTATTATTATTACTCCCAGTCTTTTGACTTTTGAGTGAATATTATGTACAAGACCCACATTCTACACTGACATTACTGTAACATATGCTTACATGCATTGCAAAACGTCAGCTGCATTAGCATAAATAAAATATAAATTACCATTCTAAGAGAAATGTGTGTAATCTTGCTCATGTGTCTGAGTTACCTCTGACTTCTTACGGTGAGTCTTGAGTTACGGTGCAAAAAAAATATTCCTCCCTAAGCACGACATGCACATACCCTATCTTTTTAGTCTGTGTTCAAAGGTTTTACTGTGTTGAAAAATCTTTACCTGAAAGTAATTTTACAGTTTAGCATGCCCTTCTAAATGGACCAGTACTGTTAACTTCCATGCTGATTTACCACAGTTTATGCACAGATTTGTATTTGCTCCTTTGACTGTGAATAACACAAATAGCTATTTGCTGGCCTTCCTGCATCTCTTTTCTCTTTCACTCTCTCTTTATTATTCTCTCTCTCTCACACCCCCTCCATTGCTGGGATAAAAGGAGTGCAGATTTATTGTTGTAGGTGTACACAAAGCTCACATTGTTTCACTGCCCCTGTTGTTTTGAGGTTTGGACATAAGAAATCCATTTTTCTCCAACCTGATGATTTGCTGTCAGATTGAAAGAAATGTTAGTGAGGTTTTGACGAAAAAGAGAACAATGCTAACAAGTAGGTTTACAGGGATGGAACAGAGAGCTGAATGATAACTGTCATTTCATTAATCTAATCTTTGATTTTATTATTATCAAGCATGTGTTGATAATCTCTTATTTAATTTATTGCGATACTTATCTGTAAATATAATTGGCATCCGTCAACCAGAGAGCGACCTAGCTATGTGACTCAGCTTACTTACTCAGCCTTATTTAAAAAGAGCAGTTGTGTTTTTATCAATCTGGAAATCTTGCAGGTGACAGACACTGAAAGGAGTACAAAATGCCTGCCATGGACAGATTTTGAGGTAAATCAATACTGTGACTATATTGTAAAAACTGTAATCTAAGGTTAGGCAGTACAATGCAATAGGTACCTAATATTTAATGGGTACGTATACCTGGTATTTTCTCAGAAGTATTTTTCAACTTGAAAACTGTACCCCAAGAAAGAAACGGAGTATTTATAGTACTGTAGCCCCAGGTACAGACATACAATATACGATATACCTATTCCTTTTCACAAGTTGCTGTCTACTTGAATATCCATCACATAAGGTATGTTCTGGACACGACATGTTGCTGTTCTTTCGTTAGGGGTCGCCACAGCGGATCAGTGGTGCGCATATTTGATTTGTCACAGTTTTTAACGCCAGATGCCCTTCTTGACACAACCCACCCAAAATTTATCTGGGCTTGGGACTGGCATTGAGAGTGCACTGTCTTGTGCAACCCCAGTGGCTGCGGTTGGTTCCCTAGCTGGGAACTGAACCCGGGCCGCTGCGGTGAGAGCACCGAGGCCTAACCACTAGTCCTCCAGGGATTGTCCTGGACACTACATGTAATTACTATATAATTAGCTAATAAATATGAGTCACTGACCATACTTAGATAATAAACCTTAGTGGTTTAGACATGTCAAGCAGTATCAGAGGTTAACTATATACTTGATCTGTCTTTCTTAAATTCTACCCACCTCTATTTATATTCAGATTTTGTATGTTTATAAGTAAAGGCCTGTCTTTACAATCCACAATTTATGCAACTTAAAACAATCAATGTCTGTTTTGCATGTCTTTTCAGATTTCTTTTATATAAAAAAATGATAAATCATGCTGTTCATACTAAATGAGGCAAGCAACTCTATGCTTCCAGTGGAAGTGCAGCAGTTAAGGTTTACTGCCAGTGAGCATAAGATTATGAGTTCAAATTCCTTGCAAAACACTTTAATTGCTTAGCATATGCTTGCTTGGTGTTTTGCCCAACTTTGAAGTCATTTCTGGACTGTCCTGAACAATATGCTACCAGCTGGGACTTCCTTTTTCCATTAGAAAACATTTCCTGCCAAGCTGTGTATTTTCTTTAGAGTATCATCTAGAGCTGTGTTCAGAGGAAAGTTGCCTTAAACAAATTAACTAATACTCCATAACAGTCATTTCTTTAACTGCTCAGTTATCTGATTACCTGTAAAATTAACATTGGATACATGAAACAGCATCAGCCAGCACTGTTACAGAGGTGCCTTGCATCCGTTTGATTCTGAACATATGTCACCACATCCTGAAAGATATCAATCATGCATGGCATACCTGACTATTTTAAGTAGCGCTGTTTAAAATAACACAAATGTAAATAGAGTGCTTTCAGTTATGCATATACAAAGCATCAACAGGGTTTTGAAGTCCATTCTAAACCTACTAAACCTTTTCATATCACTATATATATATATATATATAAAACATATTAAACACAAGAATTACTGACAGAAAGATTGCCATATTTATCTTTCACATTTATCACTTAAGATTTCTATTATCAATATTGTAATCCCACCTATGATGTATTGGCAGTTTGGTATCTCAAACCAAGGTATGATTTGGGCAAAGTAAAGGTGCAAGGTCATGTACAAATGCATGCTTTTATTTTCCAATTCACAGATGACTGTGTGGTGCAGAGTGCCATAGTTTAAACTTTCAGAACTGACAATGTGAACACTACAACAAGGAGAAAAGGTTGTGCAGCAAGTATTGTTGTCACCTTACAGCTCCAGGGTACCTGGTTTGATGCTGAGCTCAGTTTACTGTGTGGAGTTTTGCATGCTCTCTCCATGTCAGTCTCGGTTTCATCTGGGTTATCCAGTTTTCTCCTATCTCCCTAAACGTGTGTAGGTGGATACGTGACTCTAAAATGTCCCTAGGTGTGATGTGTGTGTGCATGATGTACTGCGATGAACTGCTGTCCCATTCAGGGTGTATTTCTGCCTCACACCCAGTGTTCCTAGGATTGGCTCCAGATCTATCACAACCCTGACCAGGATAAAGCGGTTAATGAAGATGACTGAATAACTGGCAAAAGCCTAGAAAAAAAAAAGAAAACTAAGAAGAAAACAAAAAGATGTGAAGAATTTATACTTATACAAGTGGTATAGTGTATGTGTATATATATATATATATATATATATATACACACACACACACACACAATTATATTATATATATATATATATATATATATATATATATATATATATATACACATAAAATTTATTATATATACATAAAGCTTTATTATTTGAATGCCTTCTTGTGAAATCAAGCCACCCAACTAGGCTTCTTTCTAGATATTTCTAGAAGGGAGGAAGAAAAAAAAACATCAACAAACCTGTAGCTACCGCCTGAGGCTCCTTTTCGTGCAACCGGAAGTTCGCACAGGTAAAAGGGTGCGGCTTTTGCAACTCCTGATTTGGGTGGAGTCGCGCGGACGGGGCGCGAGGCAAAGAGGGAGGGCAGGAAGCGCAGGAAGGGAGACCTCGTCACGGCGATCCTTCCCACACCATAACACAAAAACGCCTCCGTTATAGATTTCACTGAGCAATCTGCAACAGCAGGTTTTTGGAGAACGAGGCATAAGAGCTCCAGAGGCGGAGAGGCGCGAGCGCACCACGACACACTGCTGAGATTTTCGCGCATTAACATGGCGCGGTACAGGACGGTTACCTTGTCTCTCCTCTTGTTAATGGAATGCGGGTTCATTTCCGCCTTCAACCTGGACACGGAGAATGTGATCAGGAAAACCGGGGAGACGAACAGCTTGTTCGGGTTCTCACTCGCCCTGCACAGACAACTCATTCCGACTGATAAAAGAATGTAAGCGCATATTTTTAATAACTTGTTTGTAATATGGGAGGAAAGCAGGTGGCTGCTGCTCGAGTTGTCATTCTGCCTGAGTAACCCGGCAGGCTGCATGCTGATGCACATGTCTGCAGTGGTTGTGAGGTATTTTAAGTTTTCAGGTGTTTTTTTTTTTTTTTAAGTCAATTTTTTTTAAGGTGACTTATTAGTTGTCATTTTAACTTCTGACAACTGAGTGATTTAAATAAGAGTGCTGGTGAAATAAGGAGTTGATATTATACTTTACTTTTATTTTAATATATATATATATATATATATTAATGTTAAACATATTTTAGGTGGCTTTGTTTTTAGTGTTTTGATTTAGGTTAATATTATTTTTAATGACTGGAACAGTGAACAGTCCTTCAATCAAATCAGTAGGCTAAGTGAGGGAGGTTTGTGAGGTAAATACACCATTGTACTCTGCAACATTATCATAGATGTAAGTGGTTTTATATATATTAACTTTTACAATTCAATTGTTTGACCCTTTTTTTTTTCTTATCCACATGTGGTCATTTAAATCATTGAATGTCGATTTGGCTAAATTACAGTGAAGACGCCATTTTACTCATTAGCATGCATACCTTAACGTATAGTAGGCTAATTAGGCTATTTTACCTGTATTTTAAAACCAAGCTGAAAGTTTACTCACTTGAGACAAATCTGACGAGGCGTTTTCCAAGCACATAGATTAAATAAAATGCTTAAACATAAATATCTTGCTAAAAAAAATTATATAAAACAGATAAATCCTTAGCGAGGAATCGCGACCGTTAGTCTGAGGTAAAGAGGCCACGCCCTAATCGAGTGCACGTGCACCTTCAAGCAGCTGTTTGACCGACTCGTGTGATCAAATAAGAGAAGTATTAGCAGCAGAAGCTAAAAAGTGATTTTTTTTTTCCTCCCCTCAGAAATGACCGTGTAAACTGAGTCTTAATTGTCTTAATTATTATCTGTGGAGAAACAGTAGTTTTACTGGTTGTATAAGGTCGAATATTTGAGGTAGTTGTATGTGAGTCAGGTTATGATTCATTCCCAAAATTCTCCTCCGCTGCCAACGTTCCTGACCAGACGGACAACAGGATAAGAGAGAGGGAGAGAGAGAGCGCAAGCAAGCAAGCAACTGCTGATTTTCCTAGCGAGAAGGAGGTTGTGAGAGAGTGTGTAGCCTATTTGTGTGAGACACTGAGGGAAAGTGTGAAAGAGAATGAAGGAAAGATGAGTGAAAGATTGTGGGAGCGACTGAATGTCCAATACCACACCCTTTACACCACATAGTGCACTATTTTGTAGTCATAGATGAAACCTCATTCAAGAATACTGGGTACACTTAAGAAATGTTGGTTGTACAACAGCATTTTGAGTCACAAGTTTTAAGTTTTGCATCACAAACTAAATCACCGAAGCACTGAGAAAGAAGGTCCATAATAATACCCATAGCTCTACATTTACGTTAGTAAGGGACACGTCACTGGTGTTGCTTGTAGTTTGTCTCCTGTGAGTGAGTAGAGACAAGCTTAAATGGAAACTAATCGAGTGGGAACCTGAAGAAACATTATACCACATGCGCCATACAACTTGCCCTCTATTAACATCATTGGATCACACTCTACGTAATTCAAGCTAGTAGATTGGATTTTTGTTTAAATTAAGTGTAGTATTAAGCAATAAAGTCACAACCTTAAAAGACATTCTCTTAAGTGTCAGTGGGCAGTGGTGGCTCAGTGGTTTATTCTCTGGGTTACTGCTCAGAAGGTTGAGGGTTCAAGCTTCAGTACCATCAAGCTGCTACTGTTGGGCCCTTGAGCAAGGCCCTTAACCCTGTCTGCTCAGTGGCTCACCCTATGCTCTTACCCCAGCTTCCTAACAAGCTGGTATATGTGAAGAAAAGAATTTCACCGTGTATGTGACAAATAAAAGCTTCTTCTTAATCTGACCAACTACACATTCCCTTTTTTCAATGTACGATTGACATAGAGAATTGTGTGGCATTGCTACTGCTGCTGAAATCACGGTTCCATGTCATGCATGTATGGTCACTGTTGCTTTGTCACTTGCTAGTATAAAAATTAACAATTTATCACACAGAAAAATGTATTAAAATAATGGTCTTCATCCAGATTCCACAAACAAAACATTACTACAAATTTGCATTTCATGTCTCCAAAGGCATGGTGTCCATTACTTAACGAAATACAAATAAGCCTCTGTAATGTTGATTTATTTTTTTCAGTGTTTAAAAAGTATTTCTTTTCTACTAACATACCAGTGCATTAGGCATAAAATTGACAAACATTTCTAAAAACATGGAGTGACAGACTTGTGTATAGTACTGTATGTAGGAGACGTTCTGACCTTGTGTGTATGTGTGTTTATTTGCATAAGTCTTGTCGCCTGTGTATTGTATAAACATTTCTTATCTCTATGGCTACAGTTCAAAATCATTATGGTAGAGGGTCTGGAAAAGGCTTCAGTAGCACCAATGCACTCAGAAGTCTGAAAATTATAGTAGGAATGTTTTTGACAGGTGTGTGTGTGCGCGCGTGATTGTGAATGGCCCATCTTGACTCATATCCTCAATGACAGTGCATGGACTTGCCTTGTTTAAACACAAGAAAATGCCTCTCCTTTCCAAATGTGTGCCCTA